TCTTAGTCTCTGATAAAACAGACTTTAAACCAACAAAGATCAAAAGACAAAGAAGGGCATTACATAATGGTAAAGGGATTGCAACAAGAAGAGCTAACTATCCTAAATATATATACACCCAATACAGGAGCACCCAGATACATAAAGCAAGTTCTTGACGACCCACAAAGAGACTTAGACTCCCACACAATAATAGTGGGAGACTTTAACACTCGACTGTCAATATTAGACAGATCAACAAGACAGAAAATTAACAAGGAAATCCAGGACTTGAACCTGAGTTCAAGTGGACCTAATAGCTATCTACAGAACTCTCCATCCCAAATCCACAGAATACACATTCTTCTCAGCACCACATTGCACTTACTCTAAAACTGACCACAATTGGAAGTAAATCGCTCCTCAGCAAATGCAAAAGAATGGAAATCATAATAGTCTCTCAGACCACAGGGTAATCAAATTAGAACTCAGAATTAAGAAACTAACTCAGAACCGCATAGCTTCATGGAAACTGAACAACTTGCTCCTGAATGACTACTGGATAAACAATGAAATGAAGGCAGAAATAAAGAGGTTCTGCAAAACCAATGAGAACGAATACATAATGTACCAGAAACTCTGGGATACATTTAAAGCAGTGAAATTTATAGCAATAAATGCCCACATGAGAAGCAAGGAAAGACCTAAAATAGGGTACCCTATCGTCAAAATTGAAAGAGCTAGAGGAGCAAGATTTAAAAAATCTCAAAAACTAGCAGAAGACAAGAAATAACTAAGATCAGAGCAGAACTGAAGGAGACAGAGACACAAAAAACCCTTCAAATAAATCCAGGAGCTGGTTTTTTGAAAAGATCAACAAAATAGACAGACTGTTAGCCAGATTAATAAAAAAGAAAAGGGAGAAGAATCAAATAGATACAATAAAAAACGATTAGGGGGATATCACCACTGATTCCACAGAAATACAAACTACCATCAGAGATTACTACAAACAACTCTATGCACATAAACCAGTGAACCTGGAAGAAATGGATAATATTCTGGACACTTGCACCCTCCCAAGACTAAACAAGGAGGAAGTTGAAACCTGGAATAGACAATAACAAGGGCTGAAGTTGAGGCAGCAATTAATAGCCTACGAACCAAAAAAAGCCCAGGTCCAGACGGGTTCACAGATGAATTCTACCAGGCATACAGAGAGGAGCTGGTACCATTCCTTCAGAAACTATTCCAAACAATACAAAAAGAGGGAATCCTTCCCAAATCATTTAATGAGATCAACATCATCCTGATACCAAAACCCGGCAGAGGCTCAACAAAGAAAACTTCAGGCCAAGATCCATGATGAACATAGATGCAAAAATCTTTAATAGAATACTGGCAAACTGATTGCAACAGCACATCAAAAAGCTTATCCATCAAGACCAAGTAGGCTTCATTTCAGGAATGCAAGACTGGTTCAACATACGCAAGTCTATAAACGTAATCCACCACATAAACAGAACCAAAGACAAAAACCACGATTATCTCAATAGATTCAGAGAAGGCCTTCAACAAAACTCAACAGCCCTTTATGCTAAAAACTCTCAATAAACTCTCAAAGGAACATATCTCAAAACAATAAAAGCTATTTATGACAAACGTACAGCCAATATCACACTGAATGGGCAAAAACTGGAAGAATTTCCTTTGAAATCTGGCATCAGACAAGGATGCCCTTTCTCAACACTCCTATTCAATATAGTATTGGAAGTTCTAGCCAGAGCAATTAAGCAAATAAATAAATAAAAAATAAAGGGTATTCAATTAGGAAAAGAGGAAGTCAAATTGTCTCTATTTGCAGATGACATGATTGTATATTTAGAAGACCCTATCATTTCAGCCCCAAATCTCCTTAAACTGATAAGCAACTTCAGCAGTCTCAGGATACAAAATCAATGTGCAGAAATCACAAGCATTTCTATACACCAATAACAGACTTAAAGAGAGCCAAATCACGAGCAAACTTCCATTTGCAATTGCTGCAAAGAGAATAAAATACCTGTGAATACAACTAACAAAGGATGTAAAGGACCTCTTCAAGGAGAATTACAAACCACTACTCAAGGAAATAAGAGAGGACACAAAAAAATGGAGAAACATTCCATGCTCATGGTTAGGAAGAATCCATATTGTGAAAATGACCATATGGCCCAAAGCAATTTATAGATTCAATGTTATCCCCATCAAGCTACCAATGACCTTTTTCACAGAACTGAAAAAAACCACCTTAAACTTCATATGGAACCAAAAGAGAGCCTACATAGCCAAGTCAATCCTAAGCAAAAAGAACAAAGTTTCAGGCATCATGCTACCTGATTTCAAACTATACTACAAGTCTACAGTAATCAAAACAGCATGGTACTGGTACCAAAACAGAGATATAAACAAATGGAACAGAACAGAGGCCCTGGAGGCAATGCCGCACATCTAAAACCATCAGATCTTTGACAAACCTGATAAAAACAAGAAATGGGGAAAGGATTCCCTGTTTAATAAATGGTGTTGGGAAAACTGGATAGCCATGTGCAGAAAGCAGAAACTGGACCCCTTCCTGACACCTTACACTAAAACTAACTCCAGATGGATTAAAGACTTAAACATAAGACCTAACACCATGAAAACCCTAGAAGAAAATCTAGGCAAAACCATTCAGGACATAGGCATAGGAATGGACTTCATAACTAAAACGCCAAAAGCATTGTCAACAAAAGCCAAAATAGACAAATGGAATCTAATTAATCTCCAGAGCTTCTGTACAGCAATCATTAGAGTGAATCAGCAACCAACAGAAAGGGAAAAAAATTTTGCAATCTACCCATCTGACAAAGGGCTAATATCCAGAAACTGCAAAGAACTAAAACAGATTTACAAGAAAAAAACCCATCCAAAAGTGGGCGAAGGATATGAACACTTTTCAAAAGAAGACATATATGAGGCCAATAAACATATGAAAAAAATGGTCATCACTGATTATTAGAGAAATGCAAATCAAAACCACATTGAGATACCACCTCACACTAGTTAGAATGGAGAGCGTTTAAAAATCAGGAAACAACAGAAGCTGGAGAGGATGTGGAGAAATAGGAGCACTTTTACACTGTTGATGGGAGTATAAACTAGTTCAACCATTGTGGAAGACAGTGTGGTGCTTCCTCAAGGACTTAGGAATAGAAATCCATTTGACCCAGCAATCTCATTACTGGGTATATACCCAAAGGATTATAAATCATTCCATTATAAAGACACATGCACATGTATGTTAATAGCAGCACTGTTTACAACAGCAAAGACCTGGAACCAACCCAAATGCCTATCGACGATAGACTGGACAAGGAAAATGTGGCACATATACACCATGGAATACTATGCAGCCATAAAAAATGATGAGTCTGGGTCCTTTGTAGGGACATGGATGAACCTGGAAGCCATAATTCTCAGCAAACTGACAAAAGAACAGAAAATCAAACACCACATGTTCTTACTCATAGGCATTTGTTGAACAATGAGAACACATGGACACAGGAAGGGGAGCATCACACACTGGGATCTGTTGGGGGAGGCCAAGGGAGGGACAGTGTTGGGGGGTGGTGGGGAGGTCAGGGAGGGATAACATGGGGAGAAATGCCAGATGCAGGTGACGGGGGGATGGAGGCAACAAACCATATTGCCATATACATACCTATGCAACAATCCTGCATGATCTACACATGTACCCCAGAACCTAAAGTACAATAAAAAAAATTTAAAAATAAAATTTTGTTTTAAAAAAAAGAAAATCTATTACTCAATAACTTGTATGAAAATGTTCATAACACCTTTACTTATAACAGCCCAAACAAAAGTAGATACTACCCAAATGTCTATCAACTGATAAATGAATAAATAAATTGTGGCATATAAATACAGTGGAATATTATTCAGCAATAAAGAAAGAACCAATACATACTACAACATGGATAAACCTTGAAAACATTGTGCTAAATGAAAGAGGCCAGTTACAAAAGAATTGTTTAATTCAATTTAAATTAAATGACCAGGAGATGAAAATCTGTAAAGAGTGAAAGTTGCTTAGTAGTTTCCTAGGGCTGTGTGGGGGGTGGGAAGGAGATGAGGATTTATTGCTAATGGGTACAAGGTTTCTAGGGTTGTCTTGCGTTGGTTTTTTTTTTTTTTTTTTTTGGTGTAATAAAATGTTCAAACCTGATTAAAAATATTCTTAATAAAAATAAAATTACAAAAGTGATAATCAAACACACATTGGAGAAAATTCAGTCTTAAAATCTGTCCTTTATCTCACTACACTGAGATACTACAATGAACTATGTAACCTTCCAGTCTTCTTCGTTTACATTCTCAAGTAATAACAAACACATCTTCCTTTACAAAGAAGGAAGAAAGGAAAGAAAACATTACAACAAAGTCCGCTATACTACCTTGGTCCTCAATCACTGCCTACTCCTCTAAAAGGAGATTTAACCAATGTTTGTTAAGTATCTTTTCAGAATTTTCTCTATATATTTTTGATCCACATGGATGTACCCAGAGTAAATACAGACAGTATCGTACTGTTTTGCACCAAAGGTTTTTGTTTATGTGCAATATAATCAATTGGTAGCTTCATGTAACCATCACTACAATCAAGACACAGATTTGTTCTACCATCACAGGATACATAAAGAAATGCAAAATAATAAGAAATATAGTAAACATCCCTTGGCTCTAACTATAATATAGCTAAAGTGAGAGTCAAAGAAAATGCTAGGGTGCATGTTGACCCTGAACCAAACTAAGATTTTGGTAGGTCTCAGCTATGACCACTAGCCTCAAGCCACCCCAAAGGGAACAACCATGATAGGACAGCAGAAGGAGTTGCAAGGACTCCGAGCGCCGCTGGATTGGCTCTGGGCAGCTGGATCGGAGGTACCGGGGTGGCCGCGGCGTGCTCGGAGCCACGGCCCGGGCAGCTCAGTGTGTGCCGGGGAGGGGGGGTTCCAGGCGCACTGGACACCATGAACCACCTGAACGTGCTGGTCAAAGTCCTCTATGACGACGTGGCCGAGTCCCCAGATGAGCTCTCCTTCCGCAAGGGCGACATCATGACAGTGCTGGAGCAGGACACGCAGGGCCTGGATAGCTGGTGGCTCTGCTCACTGCACGGGCGCCAGGGCATCGTGCACTGGAACCACCTCAAGATCTTAGTGGGCATGTACGATAAGAAGTCAGCAGGGCCTGGCCCCGGTCCTCCCGCTGCCCGGGCCCAGCCTCAGCACAGCATCCCACAGGGCCTCCATGCCCCAGCGCCTCCAACGTCCCAGTACACGCCCATGCTCCCCACCACCTACCAGCCCCTGCCCGACAGCATCTACCTGGTGCCCACCCCGAGCAAGACTCAGCAAGGCCTCTACCAAGCCCCTGGTCCCAGCCCTCAGTTCCAGTTGTCCCCAGCCAAGCAGACATCTACATTCTCGAAGCAGACGCCCCATCACCCATTTTCCCAGACCGACCACAGACCTGTACCATGTAACCCCAGGGCCTGGAGGCCCTGCCCAGGACATTTACCAGGTACCACCTTCTACTGGGATGGGGCATGACATCTACCAGGTTCCCTTGTCCATGGACACATGCAGCTGGGAGGGCACAAAGCCCCTAGCAAAGTGGTGGTGCCCACCTGCGTGGGACAGGGCTATGCATGAGGCCGCAAAGTCAGAGCAGGGCGAGTACGACATTCCGCGACACCTGCTGGTCCCCCGTGCCCCAGGACATCTATGATGTGCCCCCTTTTGGGGGGCTGCTTCCCAGCCAGTATGGCCAGGAAGTAGACGACACACCCTCATGGCTGTCAAGGGTTCCAATGGCTGAGTCTCGTTGCTGGAGGTGTATGACATGCTCCCCAGCATGAGGGGCCTGCCCCTGTCCAGCCAGCACGCAGTCTACAACATTCCTCCATCGGTGAGCAAGGACGTGCCCGACGGCCCGCTGCTGCGTGAGGAAACCTATGATGTGCCCCCGGCCTTCGCCAAGGCCAAGCCCTTTGACCCGACCCGCACCCCGCTGGTCCTGGCTGCGCCCCCTCCAGACTCCCAGCCAACCGAGGACTTGTATGATGTGCCGCCCCCGGCTCCTGACCTCTACAATGTGCCCCCTGGCTTGCGGCAGCCTGGCCCAGGCACTTGTACGACATGCCCCGTGAACAGGGGCTTCCTCCTGAGGTGGCCGATGGTGGCGAGGCTGACGATGGTGTGTATGCATTGCCTCCCCCAGCTGAGCGTGAGGCCCCCAGCACCGGCAGCACACGCAGCAGCCAGTCGGCATCCTCCTTGGAGGTGGTGGGGCCGGGCCGAGAACCCCTGGAGCTGGAAGTTGCTGTGGAGGCCCTGGCTCGGCTGCAGCAGGGTGTGAGTGCCACCGTTGCCCACCTCCTGGACCTGGCAGGCAGCGCCGGTGGGACCAGAAGCTGGCGCAGCACCCCTGAGCCACAGGAGCCACTGGTGCAGGAGCTATGGGCCGCTGTGGCTGCAGTCCAGAGTGCAGTCCACGAGCTGCTGGAGTTCACCCACAGCGTTGCTGGCAACGCTGCCCACACATTTGACCTCGTTCTGCACGCCAAGCTTAGCCAGCAACTGCAGAAGATGGAATATGTGCACCAGACACTGGTGGCACATGGTCAGGCCCTTGACACTGGCCGGGGAGGCCCGGGAGCCACCCCTGAAGACCTGGACCAGCTGGTGGCCTGCTCATCGGCCATGCCCGAGGACGCCAAGCAGCTGGCCTTCTTCCTGCACGGCAACGCCTCGTTGCTCTTCAGACGGACCAAGGCCCCTGCCCCGGGGCCTGAGGGGGGTGGCACCCTGCATCCAAACCCCACTGACAAGGCCAGCAGCATCCAGTCACGGCCCCTGCCCTCACCCCCTAAGTTCACCTCCCAGGACTCGCCAGATGGGCAGTATGAGAACAGCGAGGGTGGCTGGATGGAGGACTATGACTACGTCCACCTACAGGGGAAGGAAGAGTTTGAGAAGACCCAGAAGGAGCTGCTGGAAAAGGGCAGCATCACGCGGCAGGGCAAGAGCCAGCTGGAGCTGCAGCAGCTGAAGCAGTTCGAACGCCTGGAACAGGAGGTGTCACGGCCCATAGACCATGACCTGGCCAACTGGACGCCGGCCCAGCCCCTCTACCTGGGGTGGACGGGCAGCCTGGGGCCCTCGGACCAGCAACTGCTGCTCTTCTATCTGGAACAGTGTGAGGCCAACCCAACCACGCTGACCAATGCCATGGACACCTTCTTCACTGCTGTGGCCACTAACCAGCCACCCAAGATCTTCGTGGCGCATAGCAAGTTCGTCATCCTCAGCGCCCACAAGGTGGTGTTCATCCAGGACATACTGTCTCGGCAGGCCAAGGTGGCCCACTACAGCAACCTGCTGTGCGACCTCCTGCACGGCATCGTGGCCACCACCAAGGCCTCCGCCCTGCAGTACCCATCACCCTCTGCTGCCCATGACATGGTGGAGAGGGTCAAGGAGCTGCGCCACAGCACCCAGCAGTTCCGCAGTGTCCTGGGCCAGCTGGCAGCCCCCTGAGGGCAGTGACCCCAAGAGGGAGGCAGGGGAGGGGTGTGGCAGCCCCAGCTCCCCATCCCCCGTCTCAAGAGTAGCTGTGCTGCAGGCTGGGGGACAGGACCCCAGCTCTGCCTCAGGCCTGGCACCCCAGATGCCCAGAATCTGTATATATTTATGGCTGGGCAGGGCGTGGGGCCATGCCCCTCAGAGGAGCCGAAGCCCAGGGGCTGGTCAGTGGCCTTCCCCATCATGCACCGCAGGCCTGGGCTGGGCCCCAGGTAGGGGGCTGGAGTGTGAGGGCCCACAGCCTGCAGGACCTCGTGCCGCCCGAGGGCTGAGCCTGGCCCCCAGAGGGCGACCTGTCCCAACAGGGCCAGTGCAGTTTGGTGTGTTCCTCCGCCTCACCAGGAAAAGACCCTGAAGAACTATTTTTCATTATTGGTTTTCTAATCATTTGACTAACAGTCTCCATTTAAATAAAGTTTTTAAAATGAAAGAAAAAAAAAGTTGGGTCAATAAGAAGGTACTTCATGTTGCAGGAGGACAAACCCAAAAAACTACTGAAATCAGCAGGTGTAGTGTGAAGGAGCTGTTTTATTTTGTGAATAGTTATCAGCTTCCTGAAGAATCTTTACTAAAATGGACTGTAAGAATATCTAATTTAGGGGCAATACCTTTGGTTTTGAATGCTGCAGTACAGAAGGTTATGTTTGGGATGATATGGGATCCACAGCTCACTATGGAACAATCATAGAAGGCTGTATGTGATCCAGATACACAGCAGGTTATTCCAGAGGGAACAGCTGCCTTGGTGGACTGAATAAAATCCACTGTAAGAAGTGTAATAAAAGCCCTGAGAAGGACTTTCTGATTCTCTCTTTAACTGCCAAGTGAAATAGCCCAGATAAAGCAGCTGATATGTTTTGTATGCAAACCACTGAAACTGGATTTATGATGATCAGGATATTTATCTACTGAATGTGCCCATTACCTAGTCATGGTAAATGCTGTGATTAAAGGGACCCCTTTTGCAAGGGCACCCCATGTAAACTTACTCTTGCGGAATTCAACAACAGAGAAGGCTTATCAGGTTTGCTGTCTCTGCTTCTTGATGTGGGTCATAAAGATATAAAGAACATTAATTAACAAGACAATGAGAAGACACAGGAGAATCAAAGGATTCATTCCATCAGGGTGGAAATTTTTAGATGGTTATTAAGAAATGAGATAAATAAAATGGGCATTGGTGGGTTGAAATAAAGATCTTAATATAGCACTATAGAAGGTTGGGTGGACCAATGGGACCCCCTGCTGAGCCTCCAACATTAAAAGGACTCCTAAACATCTGCTTTATTTATCTCAATTTGGAGGATTTTTTTTTTTTTTTTTTTTTTTTTTAAATAGAGACAGGGGCTTGTTATATTGCCCAGGCTGGTTTATGGATGGCGGTTCCAGTGGGATCAGACAACATCACTACTCCGATCAAAAAATGTAAAACAAAAAAAAAAAAATTTTTTTTTGAGACAGCATCTTGCTCTGTCACCCAGGTTGGAGTGCAGTGGCATGATCATGGCTCAATGCAGTCTCTGCTTCCCTGGTTCAAGCAATCCTCCCTATTGAGCAGCTGGGACTACAGGTGCATGTCACCATGCCTGGCTTTTTTGTAGAGATGGGGTTTCACTATGTTGTCCAGGCTGGTCTCAAACTCCTGGACTCATGCCTTGGCCTTCCAAAGTGCTGGGATTACAGGCATGAGCCACCGCACCCAGAGTAGAATGTAAAAACAAATCAGCTTGTTGGGCTGTATTGCATGCTGTTTCTTATGTTTGGGTTTCTACATACTCCTTGCTGGTGGCCAGTGGCCTGGACATGTGGTCAAGCAGAAGAGCAATGGGAGATTCATCTATTAAAGGGATGCCCTTACATAACCCTGTGGAAATCAATATAGGAATTTGAGGGGTGCATTAAAGTAAGACACGTCAATGCTCATAAGAGGACCTCACTTCCAGCATCAAAAGGTGATTGGAGTGGATGAACAGATACCCAGTATATTGACTTGACATAACCACCTGGGCCCATAAAATGATTCTAGGGAGCTGCAGCAATGCATAGAAGGGGTGAATGTAGACATGTTCCTCTTACATCTTCTGAGGAAAAAATTACCCATAAAAATCGTCCTGTCTGCTAAAAAGAGAGACAGAGACTCCAGATAGATGGCTAGAGGGCAGATTCCCCAGGGGGAAGGCCCTACACAGAGAACAACTTACACTGATGCCAGTGGCCATGGGCGAGCTACAAATGGGTCCTGACAGGAATAGGCACTCTGGACTGGGCTTTGCTTATACAGGGAGAGATGCAAATACTTCAGAATATCAGTTATGCTCAGTCAGGTATGATCTTTTTGCTATAAATGATCCTGTGGTCAAAGACAAGGAGGTGGTCTGTGATATACAAAGAATATATATGGTCTAGTGAAGGATGGTTCCTGGCACTGATCTTCCAAAGTCCTTAGAATTTCCTGAGTGATAACAATATCTTTGTTATTTTAAAAAGGTGACACTGGGAGAAAAGGTCTAGATAGCTTCAGAATGGGGCTGGTTGCCAAAAAAACTAACCATGTGATTGGAATTTAAGCCACTAGACCTCTGGGCAGAGGAGGGGGCAGGAGACTGAGTTAAATTGCATGGCCAATGTTTTAATCAATTATGCCGATGTAATAAAACCCTAATTAAGAAAAAACAAGTAAAACTTCAGAAAAGTAAGGCTCGGGGGGCTTCCTAGTGGGTGAACACATCGAAGTGCTAGGATGATGACATACCTGGACTCCACGAAGAGAGGACACGAAGTTCTGTGTTCCATGTTCCCTCCCCCAACTTCTTCCCAGATGGTGCATGTCTTCCACGTGGCTCTTCCTGAGTTGTGTCCTTTTAATAAAACTGTAAGTAATGCATTTCTGTGAGTTCTGTGAATCTTTGTAGCAAATTATCAAACTAAAGGGGGGTCGAGGGAACCCCCAAATGTGCAGCCAAGTCAGACACAAGTGTGAGGAGCCCGGGGACTCTGATTGTGGCTGGAGTCTAAAATAAGGGCAGTCTTAGGCCAGGTGTGGTGGCTCATGCCTGGAATCCCAGCACTTTGGGAGACCAAGGAGCACGGATCACTTGAGGTCAGGAGTTCAGGAGTTCGAGAGCAGCCTGGCCAACATGGCAAAACCCCATCTCTACTGAAAGTACAAAAATTAGCTGAGTGCAGTGGAGGGCACTTGTAATCCCAGCTACTTAGGAGGCTGAGGCACTAGAATCGCTTAAACCTGAAAGGCAGAGGTTGCAGTGAGCTGAGATTGGGCCACTGTGCTCCAGCATGAAAGACAGATCGAGACTCTGTCTCAGAAAATTAATAAATAAATAATAATAAAATAAAATAAGGGCAGTTTTTTTGGGAGCCTTGCCCTTTAACTTGTGGGATCTAACTCCAGGTAGTGTCAGAACTGAACTGAATTCTAGGATATCAGAGAACTGTTATTTAGAACACAAACTTTTTATTTTTTTTATTTTTTGTGGTAAAATATACATAACATAAAACCTTTTTAACCATTTTTTATTTTTAAGCTTCTCATTGAAAGATAACAATACAGAAAACATATAAACAGTACAACTTATAAAGTATACTGCTCAATCAGATTTCATCTGGATCAAGAACACGATATTCCAATATTCCAGGAAAGAAAAGAAACATGTTAAAAAGAAAAACATTTTTATTTTAAAAACCTAGACATAGTAATTAAAATGGGATTTAAGAGCAGTAATCCCTCTATCCCTTTATATGTGTGTGTGTGTGTGTGTGTATCTGTAACATATTTATACATAATCCCATATATGTGCACATACCCACTCTATAATGTACCATTTCCAGAAATGGGTTCACGGAAGACTTTCTAAGGGGTATTTGTTTTATTATTTAAAAGATTATGTGATAATAACTTTGGGACATACTAAATCAAGAGTAATCAAACAGTTTATCACCTATGAAAATACTTCAGGGCTTATTGCCTGGCCATTCTCAAGTCAAGAGAGGAATGAGGAGAATCCTTCTTGCCATTCTAGATATATTTTTAAAATTATGATAATATATACATAGCAAAGTTTACCATTTTAACCATTTTTATGGGTACAATTCAGTGGCACTAACATTCACAATGTTGAGAAGCCATCATTGCTATCCATTTCCAGAATTTGTTCATCCCAAACAGAAACTATGTACCTGTTAAACAATAAGCCCCCCATTTCCTCCTCCCTGCAGTCTCTGGTAACCACTGTTCTCCTTTCTGTCTCTATGAACTTACCTATGCTGGTTTCTCCATGTTGGTCAGGCTGGTCTCGAACTCCTGGCCTCAGGTGATCTGCCTGCCTCAGCCTCCCAAAGTTCTGGGAGTAAGCCACCGTGCCCGGCCTCCGAATGTATTTTTGTTCTATAAATAAACTTTTGGAGGCACTTTAGAATTTAGAGGTCAAATAGAAATTAATGGTAACATATATTTCAAAAAGTGCAATGTTTTATTATCAACATTAATATTTGTTCATGCTAAAGATTCAGGGACGAAGTAATAGGCAAAAAACAAATATAATCAACATCACACAGGTATATCTTAAGTATATAGTAATACTTTGCTAATTATTGGACTAAAAATATAAAAGAAGTACATCAATTATTTTGTGTTTCACCTTTCTGAATATACTTTTACATTAAATACACAGCAAGTACTTATTTATAAATTATGCTTTTTTTCTTTAGGAACCAAAACATGCTTATTCTTGATTAATTAGAATTTGTTTCAAAAGATAAAACTTCTTAAAGATAAGCATGGCATTTAGAGTTTTAGACCCATATTCTTGCTGGATTGGCTGTTTGATGATTGCTCTTGTTCTTTTGTAATTTCCATCTTGATCTTGGCTTTGATTTTCTCCCAATCTATTTGTAGCTGCAATAGAAAAAAAAAAAAAGAAGAAATATGCTTAGATAGTATAAGACATTTTTGTTTAATACAAAGTAACCAAGAGTAAATAAATAGAACGTGTGAATTCCAAAAGATTAGAGAAAAAGAGAGCATCAAAGTTAAGAAGAAGAAATAATGCTTGGCCAGGCGCAGTGGCTCACTCCTGTAATCCCAACACTACAGAAGGCTGAGGTGGCTGGATTGCTTGAGTCCAGGAATTTGACACCATCCTGGGCAATATGGCAAAGTCCCGTCTCTACAAAAAATAGAAAATTAGCTGGGTGTGGTAGCACACATCTGTGGTCCCAGCCTTTAGGGAGGCTGAGGTAGGAGAATCAACAAAACCCTTGAGGTCAAGGCTGCAATTTGTAAATATTTTGGCTCACCTTTATTTAAAATAATTCCATATACTTAGGTATAATACATAAAATAGATGAATTGATAAAATAATTCCTCTTATTCATAGAAGACAAATGTCTGTGCTAAGATGCAAGTGACAGCTCATTGAAAAGCCGAGCAGATGTTAGATTATTTGAAAGACTCATTTTTTCAATCAGGGCAAAACCTGATACTTTTTAAATGGTAAAGCACCCATTTCTATGTCTAACAAAACAAAGAGAAGACAAAACTTGATGAATGCTTTGGCCTTCTTCCAGCCTTAAATTGACTTACATATATTTCTCAAATCAATCACAATAAAACCATATATTGATAGTATACTGGACAACTGTTGCTCTGTTGCAAGTAAATTGATGAAATTCGTATTAGTTACTTGTTATAATACAAATGAGGGTGTCAGTGGATAGCTGTCCTACTGAAAACAAATGTTTCACTTTCACTTTGGCATTGATCCAGTTTTAAAAGTGTTTCACAGATAATTTAGTTCTTGGATTAGAATATTTTTAATAGCAGGTTTTAGATAAGAATGTTCTCTGATAGCGGTCAAGTGATTTGCACACTAAAATCCATCTTTTGCTAGTATAAGGAGTGCCAATATTATCTGGCACTCCTTATTCTACTCGTTAGTCAATTCTTATTCACCTAGAAGCAATTTCAAAATCATACCAAAAGCTTCTCCATCTTCTTAACACATTTTTCTTCCTCTCAGCTGAAGATTAGCTTCCTACTTTACGTAGAGAATATAGTGGCCATCAGGTATGAGTTCATTTAATTTTCCTTCCTTGCATTCACAAACTTACCTGTTATCTACACCCATCATTATCTTTCTCTCTTCCATCTCTGGCCAACCTCTAACACATGTCCCTGATTCCATTTTCTTTGACTCCTTCGGGACATCTGAGTTCAATTATTCCTCACACATTCAATGTCCTTCTTTTCACTGGCTCTCTCTCATCATCCTTGCCTCTCTATTCTGTCTTCTCCCTGCAAGCTACCATCCCTCATTCTTCTTTTCATTCCTGACTCTCATTCTCTTCCCAGTCCACTGTAATTCTTATCCTATGACACTTTAGGAACTTTGCACTAAAGCCACCATCGGCTGTTTTCAGTTCTTATCCTATATACCTTCTCTGTATGATTCAATTTTTCATTCAACACATATTTACTGATTAGTATATGTCAAAGAATGTCTGAGGTACAAGGATTCACCAGTGAACAGAAAGATAAAAATCACTGTCTTCATTGAGAGATAATAAACAAAGAGAGATAAAAATGGAAGAGGCAGATAATAAATAAAAAATATATCTAGTATGCCAGAAGCAGTAAAGATTTTGAAAACAGAGAAGGGAGATAGTCAATACCAGGAATAGAATAAGAGGTTGCAGTGTCATCAGTTTACTTTATGGGAAGCCAAGGCAAGAGGATTGCTTGAGCCCAGAAGTTCAAGACCAGCCTAGGCAACATAGTGAGAAAATGCCTATACAAAAACTTAGTTTTTATTTTTATTTTTTGGGCATGGTGGCATTCATCTGTAGTCCCATCTACTCACTGAGCTCAGTATGCTGAGGCTGCAGTGAGCTGTCATTGTGCCACTGCACTCCAGCCTAGGAAAAAAAGTGAGACCTTGTCTCAAAAAAAAAAAGGAGGGGGGTGGGGGGACTTGAAGGAAATGGGTGAGTGAACCCATGTGTACATCTGAGGAAGGGCATGGTAACATAGAGAAGAACACGGCCCTGGGATAAGAGCATTCTCTGGACCTTGCTTGCTGGCCACTGCTCTTTGAAAAATCTCTCAGACTGTATACTACTACTCTTTTCTGGTTCCTGCTATCCTTTCTAAATGCTGCTGCTTTTTCTCTCTCTTTTTTCCCCTATATTCTGCTCCCTAAACAATGTTGGAGAAGAAATATAATTTCTCCTCAACTCTTGTAAGTTTATTGATGGGATAGACCCCTGTAACAAGAGACAAGTTAAAAAGAGAAAAACAGGCCAGTTCAATAATATGTGCAGTGTACATCACATTAGGAGAAATCTCAATGAAAGGTAACTCAAAACAGTGTCTTGGAACTCTGGCTTACAGAGCATCTTCAACAGAGAACAAAACATTTTAGAGATGTAACAAGACTGTTTTTACAGAAGTGAAAGCGGTTTTAGGCTTCCAGAGATTGGAAATGATGGGAATAAAAATATATGGAAAAAAAAAAAAAACTAATATAAAGTGAGATTTGTTCTTTTTTTGAGACAAAAAAACACCACCATGTTTGTGGTGGCCCAAACATGGCTCACTGTAGCCTTGACCTCCTGCTGGGACCAAAGGTGTGTGCTACCATGCTTGGCTAATTTTGAAATTTTTTTGCAGAGACAAGGTCTCACTTTGTTACCCAGGCTGGTCCTGAACTCCTGGGCTTGGCTTATGTGATCCTCCTGCCTTGTTCTCCAAAGTGCTGAGATTACAGGAGTGAGCTACTACCCCCAGCCATAGAGTAAGGTTTTTTTATAGATTGCTCTGGAGTCGTCTCTGAGCTGACAAGAGTTGTCTCCAGTAAAGGAGAATGCATATTCTGTCTTTAGGAGGAAAAAAGGGAGAATAGAGAGAGCTCTTCCGTTTGCTGCTTCTTAATTGTCTTTAGCTCAAAAATACATATTCCAAAGAGGCATATTTGGGGGTGTCATATTTTGGTTTCCTTCAACAACCTCTCAACTGTTAATATTCACCAGGGTCCAACCATAGCTTTCTCACACCTTCCCTAAGAAATATCAATTCACATAGCTTCAACTATACCTAGATAGTCAAGACAATAAATTTAGTTATCTACCCCTTATGTCTCCTTGTCAATGTCCTTGTGTGTTCATATTTATATTTCTAATTGCCTTCTAGATACCTCTTCCTGGACACCTAATAGATATTCTAAACACATACAAAATGGCATATTTTTATGTATTCAAACTCAAAGGTCCAAAATATGTATATTCTTATGTATTCTTTATCTAGATTAATATGGCATTTCCATCTATTAGCTGCCCACACTAGAAATGCTCAAGTCATTCTCAAATGCCTTGCCTTACTTCACCACCTCTCCTCCCACCCCCAGCCACAACTGTTCTCTTAATTTGACTTGTAAAATTTTTCTTACATTAATCTTACCCTTTCCATTTCCTGATGGGATTATTATAGTAACTTCCTGACTAGTCTAGTCACCACGCTCACCTCTAAGCTATCTTTTACGTCTGATGTGATCTTTCAAGTCATTCTCTTGACTACAAATTTCCAAGTCTTCTCATTGCCTTCATTATGAAGTCTATTCTCTTACCCTGGTATTAAAAGGCCTTTCAGTGTCTTGTCCCAACCAGTATTCCAACCACCCAGGGCCCAGAGCAGTCACTCAGGAATCTTCCTCATTCATTCAAGAACTCATACGTTTGTTCTTATCATCACCTTCAACTGACTGGCAAAATCTTAAGATAATTTTGTAAAAAATGTTGTTTCCATTTATTTTTAGGAATCAGGATTTTATTTTATTTATTTGTTTCTTTATTTTTTAATAGAGACAAGGTCTCACTACATTGCCCAGGCTGGTCTCGAACTCCTGGGTTCAAATGATCCTCCCACCTCAGCCTCCCAAGTGTTGGGATTACAGGCATGAGCCACTGCACCTGGCCAGGAATCAGGATTTTATTTTATTTTTTTTGGAGATGGAGTCTTGCTCTGTTGCCCAGGTTGGAGTGCAGTGGTGTGAACTCGGCTCACCGAAACTTCTCTCTCCTGGGCTGAAGTGATTCTCCCACCTAGGCTTTCAGGGTAGCTAGAAATACAGGTGTATGCCAACATGCCCAGTTTTTTTTTTTTTTTTTTTTTTTTTTTTTTAATAAAATTTTTTTTTTTTTTTTTTTTTTTTTTTTTAAACTCTTGGACTCAAGCAATCCTCCCACCTCAGCCTCCCAAAGTGTTGGGATTACAGGCATGAAACACTGTGCCTGGTCAGGGATCAGGATTTTATTTTATTTTTTTTGAGTTCTCATTCTGTTGCCTGGGTTGGAGTGCAATGGCACGACCTCAGATCACTGTAACCTCTGCCTTCTGGGCTCAAGTGATTCTCCCACCTAAACTTCCAGAGTAGCTGGAACTACAGGTGCACGTCACTATGCCCAGCTAATATATATATATATTTTTTTTTTTGGTAGAGACAGGGTTTCGCCATGTTGCCCAGGCTGGTCTCCAAACTCATAGACTCAAGCAATCCTCCCATCTTAGCCTCCCAAAGTGCTGGGATTACGGATGTGAGCCACCGCCCCTGGCCGAATCAGGATTGTAAAAGGGAAAAGTAATCATGTTATTTCTGTCCAATGGCTTCTCTTTATTTAATTTGCCCTGTGAAACCCTAAAGTCAATCCCTCCATTGCTTTTACTCTTTCCCACTTCAAAGACTTCCCTCTGCCTGGAACATGTTTGTTCTCATCTCCCACCCCCAGCCTCTACCCTGCAGTGAGCTTCCACTATTCATTCTCTAGAGCTGAGTTCAAATATCATGGTGCTTTGCTAGAAAATTCTCTGCTAATTGCCTCACCCTAGGTCAGGATCCCTGTTCATAAAGTCTTATAGCACCATGTACGTCTCCTTCAAGGCAATTATCACAATTGGAAATGAACAATTAACTATATAATTGTCATCTCCATTTGAATATAAACTTCATAAAGCCAGGGCCAGTGTCTGTCACATTTACCATCATAGCCCAACCACTAAGGAGAAAACATTGTCAGCAGGGGGCACTCAATAAATATTGAATGAATAAAAGGCAAATAATTACCCAGCAAATCAGTAATCAGCTAACAATTTCTCACTATTAACAATTCCTCCAAATTAAAAACCTGTAAAGCAGCTTTTAGGTAGTAGCTAAGCCTAAAGTGGTTTGTCCTAAATAAAGTGTTGACTCAGATCTTCAAAATTCTAAACTTTAGGAAATCCTGCTCATGAGTTTGATTTCTTTCACTCTTTTTCTTTTTCCTAGCAACATGTTTAAGGTATTTCCCAGATCTTCTACTTTTCTTCCTGTACAGAGTATATATACAATAGAATGAATGTATTCTTTGAACGGATTTTGCTAGATTTACAATTTGTTTTATAAATATTTACAGAACACTATTGTAGACCAAGTACAATGACTCTAAATATTAGGGTTCTTAGAAAACAATACTCCTTGTATGAATCCCAGATTGTCATATTTTAAATAAGAAATGCCCAAATAACATTTCAGGGCTCATAAAGTGTCTATCAAACTTCTCACTTCTTCCCTTATATAGATTCCATTCATTTATAAACTTCCAGATGGTATGCATTGTAGCCCACCAAAATTCACCAAATATCTAGAATAAATTTTTCAATATTATTTTTAAGTGACCCTTTTCTATTTAACTCTTAGTTCTGAAATAAAGAGTTTATATAATCATAAGTCTGGCAAAGATAGATAAATATGGATGATATATCACGACTAGATTATAGACCTAAATGAAACCAAAAGATCAGCAAGTAATGCAGATATCCCTAAAGCTATTTTCCTAGGGTTACATTTTATTTCACTGATGGGAATTTTTTAAGGAAAAAAAATAATTTTCATCTTAAAATACTGCTTTATAGGCCGGGTGTGGTGGCTCATGCCTGTAATCCCAGCACTTTGGGAGGCCGAGGCGGGTGTATTACGAGGTGAAGAGATCGAGACCACCCTGGCCAACATGGTGAAACCCCGTCTCTACTAAAAATACAAAAAATTAGCCAGACGTGGTGGCACATGCCTGTCATCCCAGCTACTTGGGAGGCTGAGACAGGAGAATTGCTTGAACCCAGAAGGCGGAGGTTGCAGTGAGC